GTTCGATTCCCGGTCCGGGACTATATGTGATTTGAGTTTGTAGGCTGGTCCTCTTCCTTGCTCCGAGGGTTTTTCTCCAGGTCCGCTGGTTTTCCTCCCTCAGTCAAAAACTAGCTGTGAGGAGTGTCRTGTAGTAAAATAATDAATGTTGAGGTAGTGAGTATGAGTGAATATATAGAGGGCCACAAGTTTATTAGTCTACAGACTATTATGTGCTACCCTCTCAAAATAAAAGACTTTCTGTCTTTTTTTAACTTAAAAATATGCACGTTATTTTTTCTAAAATCATTTTATGCAAAGCAAACTTTCATCTTTTAAATTCTCTGAGTATAATGCGAATGCAATCTGAATGCTAAATTTTCGCTGCAATGATAAAAATATTCAAAAAATGATGTGAAAAGATCACACGCAAAATCGATCAAATCGATCGYGGCGCTGGCAAAAATATACATTGGCGTAACCTGGACATGGTATGTTCCACGAAGTTTGTTTTACAATAAAAGCCCCCATCCTCCACCCTCCCAAACCCCCAAAATGATACCTTTTTGATAGCTACGTTTGTCTTAAATAAAACAAAAAAGAGAAAAGAGTGTCTAGGATTTAAGTAAGATGAGGCAGTTAAGAACGGCAAAGGTAGATATGCTACAACATCAAGGAGGACAATTGTCCCCATTTTACCAGATAAATATCCCATACTCCTATTTATCAATCAAACTTTAATTTCATTCATTCAAACATTCTATCATACGACACACATTCATCCAGCCAAATCATCTCACATTATCAAACAAGTTGTTTGGTTGACAGGACGTGATCTGATGCAATGGTGTGGTGTTGTGCTTTTAAAATCTCCACTTGACTACTGCATATACCAACTAATGTTACAAGAACTCAAACCAGCTACTATAATAGAAACGGGGACGTTCAATGGTGGAGGAGCTTTATGGATGGCCGATTTAATGAAGATTCACAAGACGCAAACACATGTTTATTCTATGGATATCAGCTTCTCTTATGTAGAACCTTCAATCAGGAACAGAGAAGATATTACACTCATTAATGGTGATGCAAATAACATCAAAGAAGCCTTCCCTGCAAGTATGCTTAAGGTAACCGTAATATGGCCTTGAGTAGCTTTCATTTCCTGCATAAGTAATATATCTGATTTTGTAGAATCTTCCACACCCATGGTTGATCACTGATGATGCCCATGTCAACTTGCCAGGTGTCTTAGCACACTTTGATCAGTTCACTCAATCTGGTGACTATGTTGTAGTTGAGGATACTCATCCTTTACTGCCATTCMACCTTGGTTATGGGCTGTTTAAAGAAGTCCCTTTTAAGCCTACTGGCATATCATGGACGTATGAACCATTTAAAGAATTTATGAACACTTGTGGTGAACATTATCTTGTYGATTCAGGATACACTGACCTCTATGGGTATGTAAAATGACCATTACATTTCATTCACCGATTTCTTATTCATCAATTCACTGTAAAGCTTGAAGTAACAAAACAAGGTGATGAAGAAAGAACTAACATGRTCTTTGCTTTTTAGATACAATGCAACATGGAATTATAACAGCATCCTGCGTAGAGTGTAATAATATTTTCTTTAAGAATAGAATTAAAGGTGATTCCAAGACTTGATTGCTTTTTTCTTCATATCATCAGACAGTCATTCTTCATGACACACTCTAACAACTGTTTCATATCATTCTTGGTCATTGTGGGTTCTCTGTATTTGCTCTTAGTTCTTGAATATCTTTTTTCTTTTCCTCTACAAGTTGTTTAAGATCTGCTAGCTTTTTTTCCTGAAACAAAACACACAAAAACTTGTTCAAATAAGCATAAAACCTCTCACATTATTTCTTACTTCAATATATATCTGTCATATCATGGTTCAAAGAATGACCGTGGTTGTGTATTTTGACGCTAATTCTCTTAGTTCTTGAATATCTTTTTTCTTTTCCTCTACAAGTTGTTTAAGATCTGCTAGCTTTTTTTCCTGAAACAAAACACACAAAAACTTGTTCAAATAAGCATAAAACCTCTCACATTATTTCTTACTTCAATATATATCTGTCATATCATTAATATTTCATCATTATGATTGACATCACTGGGGAAGAAATCCCAAAAATCTTGGGGTGGGTTAAATTGGTTTTTGGTACTATCAGAAACCTATAAGGGACTTGAAATGTGTTGCTCTGTACCATCCGTTGGAATATTCAAATCTAATTTGCATCTCATTTAATTATTTGGAATAATAGTCAACTTTAGATATTTTGGTTTGATGACTATGTACAAAAGAATGCACACAAGGCTCCAGGAAAACAATGGATAATCTTGATTTATTCTTTTATTTCCCCAGAGCCTCGTCTGCAATTCTTTTGTGCATGGTCACTGAACCAAAATATCTATTTAAGTCAGATGGTGGGAACTAGCGGTAAACTAGTGTGAGCTGCGTCGGTGTTTCTAAAGAAACAGTTATGTGAAAAGATAAATTTAACACCGTAAAAAAGTATTTTTTCCACATACTTTTTTACGGTGTTAAATTTATCTTTTCACATAACTGTTTATTTAAGTCAGATATTCAATTTACCCTAGCCAACCAGAACGGGCCTTATATCTCTTATCCAACAGCAGAATTTTTCATAACATTCTTTTTCAAATTTTTAATGAGCTTTGAATATTCCGACGCTTGGCACTAAAGAAATGTATGGGCGCTACYTTCTTGTTGACACTTAATAAACCTCTCTTTGTGCCCAACACCRAGTCTGTTGTCTTTATCATATTTTATCCTTCAACTTCTGACATTTGGAGATATTATTGCTAGTTATAGCATAAGGGAATTGAAAGATTTTGATTATTATTAAAATCATTAATTCGATAGTGGAAACAGGGTCCCTGTGTTTTACTTGGATATCAGGGTGTTAGATTACACATAGATCAATTGGTTTAGCTTGCACGTTCATAGCTAGGTAGTCTGTACCATAGTGTTGTTACTGTTTTATTAAGGATTTATTTCCCACCCTTAAGGTGGCTAGAGAACAACACTATGGTACAGACTACCTAGCTATGAACAAGTAAGCTAAACCATTTGATCTA